CCGTCTCCTACGGCCAAGGCGGGGGGTACGGGCAGGGTTACCCCGCGCCACCCTCCTCATCCTATTTTGGGGGCGTGGATTGCAGTTCCTACCTGACGCCCATGCACTCCCACCACCATCCCCACCAGCTCAGCCCCATGGGGCCCTCCTCGGTGCCTGGCCACCACCACCACCACCCGCTGAGCCAGAGCTCGGGCCACCACCACCATCATCACCATCACCACCACCACCAGGGTTACGGCAGCACTGGGCTGCCCTTCAACTCCTCCGACTGCCTGGACTACAAGGAGCCTGCTGCTGCCGCTGCCGCCTCCTGGAAGCTCAACTTCAACTCTCCCGACTGCCTCGATTACAAGGACCAGGCATCCTGGCGCTTCCAGGTCTTGTGAGGGGCCGACCACTGTCCCCCCCAAACCACCATGGACCCCCTGCTCGGGGTCTCCCAGCTGCCTCCTGGGCAGGACTCTGGCTCCAGCTCTTTCTCCTCCTCCCCCCTCTATGTTAGCAGTGGTGATGCCCCGGGGGGGGGGGGGGGCGGCGGGGTCCTGCCACCCCCATCTCTACTGACTGATATTTATTTGCTTCCTGTGCCCCTTGAGCAGGTTTATTATAATTATTATTTTTTTAAACGAAACAGAAGAGGAGTTTAAAAAAAAAATAATAAAAAGCCTAGCATCCCCCCTGCCGCTCCCCCCCTGCCCGCCGGGCAGAGGCGCAGGCTGGCTCCTGCCCTGCCGGTGCCCCCCCAGCTTCATGCAGGGACCCTCACCCCCTCGTGGGTGCGGGACCCCCTGGCTCGCTGGTCCTGTACAGTCTCTTGCCGCTGGGAGTGGCAGGAACGATGTAAATACTAGGTCCGTTCCAGTGACCATGATTATTTTTAGTTGATGCTGTTGGATTGGCATTTATCTAGAGTCTAACATGGAACAGAACTTAAATTTTTTTTTTTTTTTTTTTCTTCCCTAAAAATGAATTTTTCCTTGTCTCGTGTCCTCCGTCCATCCTTGAGGGCTCAGCACACGCTCGCTCGGCCGTCCCGTCCTGGGGCTGGGGGGGAGGCAGCAGCCCAGGGGGGTGCCCAGAGGGGAGGCAAAGGGGGAGGGAAGGGCTGCCCAGCTGATCAGCACCCTGCAGACCAAAAAAACCATAACTTTTGGAAAAAATTAAAAAAAAAAATAAATAAAAAGGAAAACGAACAAAAATAATTTAAAAAGTTTTGGTTTATTTTTGAGGGGGAGGGTTGCAGGGGAAAGCACCTCTGTGTTGGGGGGCATGACTTTTTGAGGGTGTGGTTTTTTTGGTTTGGTTATTTTATTTTTTTTTAGCCCCTCCTGTGGGTTGGTGCATTCTTTCGGGTCTGGGCTGCAGCCCTGGGTGCCCGGCTGCTTCACCCACCCCAGGCTGGTGCTTTCCAGCAGCTGTGCCCCGCAGGGGGAGAGGGACTGTGTATGTATGATTTTTGATGCCGTAACTCCACACTTACCCCTTCAACTGTAAGGCAACTCCCCTCCCTCCACCCTTCCCCCCACCCCAATAAAATCCAAGCTAATAAACGTGGTGGTGTCCTGTCCTCCTTCCGGCTTGCTCCATGCCACCCCTTCTTCCACCCCTGGGGGCATCGAGGTGCTGGGAAATACTTCCCTGGGGGTCTCAGCAGGATGGGAGGGGATGTGTGTGATGAGTTTGCAAGTGCTCTGGATGGGGGACCTACCGATGCCTCCGCAGGTGTGGGCTGGGGACCCGCTTTTATGTTATTTGCTGCTGTTAATTACTGATTTATTGCTGCTCCATGGTGCCGGTTGCGTCCCATGGGATGGGCAAACACTGGCTCAAACGGCAACCCCACCACCCCGGGGGGCAGCCCCAAAAAGTCGGGAGCCACAGGCAGGCCTGGGCGGTGGAAGGGTGCGAGGACCACTCAGACATACAGCCACCCAGACAGACCTCTGCCCCCCTGAGCGGGCAGGAGCAGGGAGGGATGCTCAGCACCCGTGCTTCCAGCCCTGGCTCCTAGTGTTTCCCTCCTCAGCCTCTGCCAGCTTCAATCCAGCTGGGGAAGGGGAGGATGAATTATTTCTCATGACAATCTACCCCTCTTTTTTTGTGTTTTTTTTTGGTGTGTGGGTTTTTGTTGTTGTTTTTTTTTTTTCTCCCAGACCTTCCTTGCTGTTGGAGACTGCCTGCTGGTGCTGGGGCTGTTCCAACTCTCATGGGACCAGGGATGAGGACCACTGAGACCACTGTTACCTTGCTTGGGCCACTGACACACTAGTTGGGGGGGGAATCCCTAAATTCCCATCCTCTTCCCCGTGGTCTTGCAGCACTGCCCACTCCAGCTGGGAGCTCTGGGGCTGTGCCATGTGCTGCCGGCCTTGGTGCTCCCAGGCCCCCCTGCGGCAGGGGGGACCACGTGGGGTGAGAAATGTCAAGGCACTGGTGCTCCAGTGCTGCAATGTGCTCGGCTGCTGGAAATGGGCTGCAGCTGGGAAACCAGCAGGGTCAGCCCCAGGTGTCACTGGGACAAGCCCTGTGCATCCTTCCAGGGTCACAGCCCTGAGGCGAGGGGCAGCCGATGGCCTCAAGCACCTTCACGGTGCAGCAGGGAGAGATGGAAGTGGACAGGTGCAGCCAAGTCAATTTTAGTTCTGTGTTTTTTTTTTTTTTCTTTAAATGGTTCTTTTCCTTGTTGTCTTCTTCAATGCATTTATGCATACATATATTTAGGTATTTTTATAATATATCTATACATGTAAAATAATTCTTCTTTTCTGAAAGCACCAATAAGGCACTCATCACACCAAATGGTGGCTGTGCAGGCCATTTGAGGAACGATCATGCATGTTGGGTCTGGGCACCACCAGCCTATGCATCCCCGTGCCCTTCTTTTAGAGGGAAAAAGTTATCACAGTCCTCCTG